GAATGTTTGGACATATGTACGAAGTATTAAATATAAACGAAAAAATAACTAATTATGAATTGCGAGACAAATTTTTTAAGCTTAATTGCACCATAATTTAACAATATGGTGATGCAGTAAACATTTGCTAATGACAGATTAATTAGGTTTAATAAATTCGTCTCGCAGATTATAGGTAGATTTTATAATTTGTTTTTTTATTAGACTAAGTTTAATACTTTAAATATGTATCTGTATAACACAGCCTTAACCTAACCTTACGGTACATAATCCACAGACCGCAGTACATTTATCAGCGTCAGAATCAAGCAAATTAAAGCAACAGGAGTAACAGTAGTATCCTTGCGTACGTCTCACTTGATTCCTCTTTCTATCCTAACAACTCGGAATTTTTTTTTTTTGCAGGTCCTAACAACTCGGAATTGAGAATAAACAATTTGCATGCTCGTCTTACTTCCTCTTTCTATCCTAACAACCAGCTCGGATTAATCTGCCACTCAGAAGGACGCCTGTGTATATTACTCCATCCGTTTCACAATATAAATCATTCTAGCATTTTTCACATTTATTTTGATGTTAATAAATGTAGACATATATATCTATTTAGATTCATTAATATTAATATGAATGTGAAAAATGTTAAAATGACTTACATCGTAAAATGGAGAAAGTATATACTAAGATATTAGTTTATTTTAGGATAGGAGAGGATTCCTTTTCCTGCCATCTCCTATAAATAAGCATGCAGAAGTGCACAACTCGACCTCCACATCACAGCTAATATAAGCTGCAGCAACACACGTACTGTCTTACTTGCGCGCGCTTAGCTTAGCTTAGCTTAGTTTAGCTTAATTCTCTCTCGATCGAGCTGATCGATCACAGGTTATTCAATTGGAGTAGTTAATTAAGTTTAGCTACTTTGCTAGCTGCATTACACTGGTGTCTCTGATCGATGACAGCTTGGTCCATGGCGTCTCTGATCGTCGCCGCCATCTTCCTCGTCAGCCTCACCTCGGCGAGCGTCGCCCATGGCCGCCGGAGCAGCAGCAGGAGGAGCTACGACGACGAGCCATGCATGGAGATGAGGACATCCTCTACGACTTCAGCAACAGCACCTCCAACTCCACGTCGGCGGCGGCCACCAAGCCGACGGCGCTGAGCACCGCCGTGTCGAGCCCCGGCTACTTCTTCGGCAGGGTGGTGGTGTTCAACGACCCGATGACGGAGGGGAGGGCGCTGCCGCCGTCGCTGGAGGAGACGGCGGTGAGGGCGCAGGGGCTCTACCTTCTCGACAAGAAGGACGACTTCAGCGCGTGGTTCGCCTTCTCCATCGTGTTCAACTCCACGGCGCGCCGCGGCACGCTCAACCTCATGGGCGCCGACCCCAACGCCGCGACGAGGGACATCTCCGTGGTGGGCGGCACCGGCGACTTCCTCATGTCGCGCGGCGTCGCCACCCTTCGCACCGACGCCATCGAGGGATTCAAATACTTCCGGGTGCAGATGGACATCAAGCTCTACGAATGCTACGTCTGATCAGATATATGCATAAGCGGTGTGTGGAATCCTAGTATTAAACATGATCGTTGTGTGTGTGTGTGTGTGTGTTTTGGAGTAATTTCCATCTCAATCGATATTTCTCCGTCTTAACGCGCGGCGAGTCGTATATATGCACGTCGCGCGCGCGTGTGCAAAATGCACCTGTGTGTACTGTGTGCAGAATGTATCGCACCTCCATTTCATTTCATTCAATAAAGAAAAAAAAAAGAAGGTTCGGCATGCCAAGCAAATGTTCGACGAAATGCCGCAACAGCCGCCGGAGTCAAGTGAATGTAGAATTAAGTTTGCCGAGTCGGCGGCCGGCAAGCTGGGCTCGTCGTGGGCGCTGCTGCAACAGTCGTACTGGAGTCTGGATAGGATTTGCATCTTCCAGTTCCTGCACCCATAGCTCCCCAGCTGCCATGCATGACACTCAATACAGCCGTCATGTCTCCCATGTAAGAAAACACCCTCCAACAGACTTACCATCCAAATTGCCAAGCCAAATGGCTGATCAAATTTCTCACTTGGCTAGCCAAATCTAGCAAATTGAGCCACCTGTGTGTAACATGGATCCCACCACCCTACCTTCTCTCCCCTCCCCAATCCCTCTCCTGCGGTGCCTCCACCTCCTCATCGCGCAAGCACGTTGTGCCTCCGCCTTCCCCACCGCGTGAGAGCATGCCATCACCGGCCGTCACGCCTACGGCGCCTCTCCACCACGCGAACCCACCACCTTTGCTTGTTGTCGCGCCACCCTCCTCCCTGAACCGTCGTCCCCACCTCCAGCGTCCCCATCTTTCCGATGTGGTTGACTCTAGTCCCTACCCCTGCCTCCATCCCGCCAGGGTGCTAGTGCCGTCGTCGCCCAGGTGCAGCTGCTGCCACCATCGACTTCTTCCCCTCTTGCCACCCTGCAACCACCGACAGCTTTCCCTCTCGCCGATAGTTTGTTGATAAGTTATGCCGACGAACAATTTGTTGGTATATATAGTTCTTTCCCAACCAACATTAATTGGACGGTAATTCTTGGATTTGGTGTAGTGGTTGCCGTGGGTTGGTGGTGGAGTACTCGTGGAGAACTGGAGGATAGAGGATTGGAGGTTGTAGTTGGGAGGAAGATGTAGTGGAAGGAGTGAGAGATTGACATATGGGTCCCAATGTAAATAGAGTGTGCAATAGGTCTAGCTTGCCAAATAAGTTGGAGAGCTAGCTATATATATACGTATATATACGGATGTTTGGAGAGCCTGATTTAGGTAGGTTGGTGGAGTTGCTCTAACTAGTGGAGTCAGATGCCTATATCCACCACATTGTTTAATTATGAGCATAGCTACAAAAAGATCAATATAATATAGTTGTGGCCAGTTTAACAAAACTAATCAATTTTAGTCGGTCTTCATAGACACTGATTGAAAGTCATCAGTTTTTGGCAAACCGGTGAGGAACGGTTTGTAATTTCAAAACGAAAATGTACAACCTGCTTGGAGCCCTTGTGGGTGGATATATAGCTTCACCTACCAACGTTTTGATGCTCACAGAATAACTAATCTCAATAAATATGATTTTAATATGGATTGTAGTAAGAATTTTATGGATTTATTATTATCCCGTGTCTATTTAAGAATGCATAAAAATGGTGCATTAATTCATGCACGTTGATGCGATAAAAGGGACATTGCAACCTAAAGGAAATGGAAAGCTTAGGGGGTGTTTAGATGGGGCTAAAACTTTTTAGTCCGTGTCACATCGAATGTTTGACGCTAATTTGGAGTATTAAACATAGACTAATAAAAAAACTAATTTCATAAATGAAAGCTAATCTGCGAGACGAATTTTTTAAGCCTAATTAATCCATAATTATGAAAAGTTTACTGTAGCATCACATTGTCAAATCATGGTGTAATTAGACTCAAAAGATTCGTCTCGCGAATTAGTCCAAGGTTATAGAATAGGTTTTATAATTAATGTATGTTTAATACTCTAAATTAGTGTATAAACATTTGATGTGACAGGGATCCAAACAGGCCCTTAGTTGGGCATCACTCCAATAGTCTGTCGCGTCAGCCCTGACACAACTTGACCGAACCACACAGTGAGCTTCAGTTGCGACCTCTATTAATTGTCTCGTCCGTGGACCACATGTACAGTACAGTAATCTTAATCTCCTTCTAGATGCCAATGTTGCTATGCATTCTGTAGCCATTTTAAGGGTTGTAATAGGCAAGTTTTAGCGTGTGTGTGTGTGTATATATATATATATATATATATATATATATATGCATCAACAGGAAGACCTAGTTAATTAAGTGATGTATTCATCACGGAAGTTCAGGTTTTAACTTTGTGATTTTGTCGTTGTTTTTCTAAATTAACCCAAGCTCAGATCTGCCCCTATTTTGTTAAGAGGATTTAACGTTATTGATTTGGTGGTAAAAAAATATGTATGCTTTTGTTTATTTGCCTCTGTTATATGAGCAAATTTACGGTCCTTAAGAAGGGTACCATGATATGATGTATCAATTTTTCTATTATAAATTTATTATCTCTTGGTATAGTAATATGAGGTATCAAATTTTACACTAAATTTTATTTTACCTTATGATACCTTCTCAATGACCATGAGGACTTTGTGATCTCATGAATGAGTTACGGTGTCAAACTGTCATGGGTAAGATGAATCATCCTTATGGATATTTCAATAAAAAAAATGTCATCCTTAAGGTAAATATTATCGTAATCTTTTTAAGTAACTTAATATTGGCCCACTTAACTAGTCGGACACATTGTCCCGAAGAGATGAGATATATGTTTCCACGTAAGTAGGTCATAACTTTTTTTTTTGGAAAAGAATACAATGCTGGGATAGTAATTATTAGTTACCAAACATTTTAGTTACCGTTAATCATTAATAACCAGTTTTTCTTAATTTACAAACTTTTAGAAAACGGATACTCTAGCAGTCTATAGCTAAGTATATTATGTACCTTTTCTGGTATCCTTCCCTTTGAAGCACAACAAGTAAAGTGTGTTCCCTTTGAAGGTGACTGGTGGATAGCTCCACTATCATAAAATACTACTGGTAAGTGTGTTCTACTGTGCATTTGCACGAGGATAGTCAGACTCAGAGCATTCAAGCAACCAGAGGTCTGTGTGGTGGGAGCTGCAGCTTTCATATAATATAGTTTTTCATTTAGATTCTTAGAAGTTGTAGTTATAGAATTGAGAAAATAAACTAGAAGTTAGAAACTGAAAAATCTAGTTCTCCATATTCTCATAAACAGACTACCAACAAGTTATTTTTTTAAAATCTTAAGCTCACAAACAGATCCTCAGAAGAGAGTGAGCAGTTGCGGAAGACAACCAGAAGCAGCATCCTTTTCATTGGCCTTTGCGTGTAATTTGGGGCATGCCGCATGCATGCATTATTCCCTTTCTCACCTCCATAAATAGGCATGCAAAACTCCAGCTCTAGCTGCAGCAAATCAAAGCCAGCATTGACAGGCACTTAGCTAAGTACGTAGCTATATAGCTTCTCCTGCTTGTTCATAATAAGCAAATAATTAACAATGCAAGGCCGGATGGTGACATGGTCCATGGCGTCTGTGATCGTCGCCGCGGCCTGCATCTTCCTCAGCTGCTCTGCGAGCGTCGCCCATGGAAGGAGATTCGTCAGGAGTAGTAGCTACGACAAGCCGTGCAAGGAGATGAGGCTCTACCTCCACGACATCCTCTACGACTACAGCAACAGCACCTCCAACTCCACGTCGGCGGCGGCCACCAAGCCGACGGCGCTGGCCACCGCCGTGCCGTCGACCGGCGGCACCTTCTTCGGGCAGGTGGTGGTGTTCAACGACCCGATGACGGAGGGGAGGGCGCTGCCGCCGTCGCTGGAGGAGACGGCGGTGCGCGCGCAGGGGGTCTACCTCTACAACAGCAAGGAGGCGTTCAACGCGTGGTTCGCCTTCTCCATCGTGTTCAACTCCACGGGGCGCCGCGGCACGCTCAACCTCATGGGCGCCGACATCATCGCCGAGAAGACGAGGGACATCTCCGTCGTGGGCGGCACCGGCGACTTCTTCATGTCCCGCGGCGTCGCCACCCTCCGCACCGACGCCTTCGAGGGCTTCACCTACTTCCGGCTGCAGATGGACATCAAGCTCTACGAATGCTACGTCGTCTGATTACGTTGCTCTGAATTCTGATAGATGGTAATTAACATATAATACTGCTATACACGGTGTGATGCGTGATTTATTTCCATCGCGAAATATACTTGTTTGCTTGACGAGTTATATGCACCGATGAATGTGCAAAATGTATCCCAACTTTGTTTATTTTCATTCAATAAAGATGAAGTTTGCTCTATGAGTTCTTACGTTACACTTATTATAGCTTGTGTTACTGTTCCCATCGTCACTCACAATCACATATGCGATAATTGGAGAGCCGCTCGTCTTGGGCCGACAGGCCCATCTGTGAAGCACGGCGGACCGAAGCAGCCAGCAGCCCAGGCAGAGGAGCAAGCCCAGGTAAGGAGTAATGGGCAGAAGGCCCATCTGGCCCATTTAGGACCGAGGCTTTCTCTCGCCGGCGCCCGCGTCGCCGTGGAATTTTTTTCGTTTTTAGATTTTTTTTTAATATTTACAGAAATAATCTATCGACCAAAAAAATTACAGAAATAGCCCCTGCCGCCCTAATGGTGGGCGGCAAGCTGACGTGGCAGACGGTGGGTCGACCGCGTCGTCTGCCGCCGTCGGCCAAAATTGCGATTAGGCCATTGCCGCCCATACAGAGGGCGGCAAGGGGCTAATTGCAATTTTGGCCGCCCATAAAAAGCTTGCGGCCGTACTTTTTCATCTGGGTAGAGGGCGGTAAGGGACCCAGATGAAAAAAGTACGGCCAAAAGATTTTTCTATGTTATGTTAATAATAAATAAAGAAGTATTTATTGATAAAACTTGTTAATATTGTTATAAAAATGTATTGAAGTTGGTTGTTGCGCAATTTCATATGTTAAGTGAGGTATTATTTTGTACCTTATTCGACGTATTAGTACTCGGATAATTTATATAGGCCTATCGCAGTCTGGGTCGTAGAAACATTATATGGACTTAAACAAGGAGAATTATGTAACATGAAGAAATAGTAGTACAATTTGAACATGATACAACTATTTGCATTGCGGTTACATAGATGATATTAGATTCGAACTAGGAGGGAGGTAGTGCAATAGTTGAACACAACGACGATGTAGTAATGGGACAAGGAAGCATGACAGTAGAAATTTCAATATGCTAAGTTGTCCGATAATAGCTAACCCCTACGTGAGGATCCTTCTCCTCTCTCAAACCGCGCTTTAGTAACCCTGTATTGCTCTGGTAGTTCAAGCTGCACAACACGGCTAGGTGGAGTTAGAACCCTTCTGGTGTCTATCCATTCTCTGTATTGACATCTCCTTGGTGGTTCCTAGGAGGAAAGAATAGATGTAAAGCAAGCAAAGTTAGTAAATGTTGTGAGAAAATAAGGATTCATGTAATCAAAATATTCTTACCATGAAATCGTCGTCAAGAATATTTGGATAAACAAAGAACTTTCGACCCAATGTTGTAGGATTTATGGAACGAAGAACCTGACAACGATCACCACACCTGCCGTAGTTAGCACCCGCCAGTCGCTCTGTTGTTCACGACATTGTCGTTCATAAGCCGCTTTTCTCTGTAAGTATTGCTCAGTACTTTCGGATGCGAAATACCAGCGACCTTCTTGTAAACAAGTGGTTAGGTCGAGAATGGGATTTTCTGTATCGACCCACTCGATGTATGCGCAAGCCGTAGTACGGGTCTGCCGAATAGAGTAGTGTTACGAAGAATAAAGCGATTGCCCATACGGAATGAATAAGCATATGCAGATAATAAAATACCTCACGGTCATAGTTAGGGCACCTAAAAAAGCGCCTTCCTCGAATATCAGGATTCCTCGAAGCCATTAGTTGGCATCGATCACCGCATAGGCAGAGAGGACGCTGGCACCAAGGTGGTAGTAGGTATACACAAGGATCGCTACGCCAGTTTGGATCCTCAACACCCCGGCGTCTAGCCATTGACGAAAGCCGGTCGGATTTGTAATGAAGCAAGTGGGGAAGAGAGTACTGAATGTGACTGAGTTCTGAAAGATTGTGAGGCCTCACTCGTTAAGGCGACTTATATAGGCGCAAAAAATCCAGTGATACCCCTGACATGTGAAAGTGGTGGGGTATGGTGGGTACGCCTGATTGGCGCCGAAAGATACATGCATGATCGGCGCCGAAAGTTACATTGGTCGTATGCGCCAAATGGCGGGCAAATACTCGTATCACACACGAATAAAGGAGGCTGCATCGGTGCGGCAGAAAGTAGTCGTGCATGCGCCGAAAGGTATCGTGCATGCGCCGAAAGGTATCGTGCACATATAACAACAACGTAGTCATTACACAAGCATACAGTACTGGAAAGTGAAGCAAGTAAACAAAGAGAAGACTGCTCTACTGGCCCTGCCCCGCGCCGCGACCACGCTTGGTCCTCCGGGCCTGTGCTCGCACGTGGTCCTGGGAGTAGGTGAAACGATCCGGTGGCACAGCACGGGTAGCACGAGTGTCCCGCGGAGGAGTGGCCTGCGCCTGGTCCTGCGTCTGCACCGGCGGTGCGCCTCCCAGCTGTGAGGGGCCGATGACGTCCTCTGTCGAGCCTGAAGCGAAGTCGAAGTCAGTGATGTCGAAGAGCACGGTGGAAGGCAGCAAGCGGTCCGACGAGGTCCCAGCATGGTCCAGTGGTGGACCCTGACTCGACGTGCCGGCTGCCTGTGACGCTGACCCTGCAGCCTGGGAGAAGTGGGCGGCCTGCGTCATAGCGAACTGGGCGAAACCTACACATCGACAACGGGACCCTTGTAAGCTAAGACATAAAATGTATGTAAATTGATTGTGGAAGTAATGTTGTTTTTTTAAGTACCTGTGGGGGGCACAACAGAAGGCCTAGCCGAGGAAGGCGGGGTGCTGAACGGTGCACGAAACCCTGAAGCAATCGGCAAGTGAAACGGCTCACTTATATGTGCGAGGCATGTACAGAAATAGTAATAAAAATACTTACCTCCGTGCGGAGGGGGAGTCGGCCTAGGAACGTGCGCAGCTGGACGGGGACCAGTCGGTACGGGTGGCCGCTGTACAGCTGCGTCTGCCCGAGCAACGTCGTCTGCACGACAGGTGAGCACTCGGAGAATCGAGCGCATCGACTCCACCATCCGCGTGTACGTTGTCAGGTGCTCCTCTACGGGTACCGGAATCCCCGCGCCTAAACGTTGGATCGTCGTTGAACCATCAACGACGACCCGGTTGATGTCGTCGACCTGCATGGTTAATTTGTTCGTAAATATTCGTAAAATTTGACGAAGAGAAAGACATGAAAACATAAAGGAATGGTGCGATGCAGGGTACTCACAACACGAGCGAAGTCCTGGTCGCGGTGCCTGGCGTAGAGGTCTCTAGTGCTCGCAACGTGGGGCTGCTGCTCCAAGGGAGCGAAGGTGACCCTAGTACGGGTGCGTGGCTGGTACCAGCGTAGGTAGGCCTGGTACGACTCCTCAGTGTGTGGCTCTCCCTCGTGTTAGAACAATTCAAAAAATAGTAATGTAAAACAAAAGATAACTTGCAAAATTATGAAATAGTAATAAAATCATGAGATTAATTATGTACAACAAGAGTACAGGCTATTTAAATATAGCAAACGTTACTAATGGTACATAACGATGACGTGCAATTTAACATATATGTAGAGTTCAATAATATAACATAACATTACGTGTCGAAGTCCGACATACATCAGCATACCTAAAGACATTAGGCGCCTTAGTCCGACGTTACATCACAAGACCTAAAGACATGACATGCCGAAGTCTGACATTACACGACGAAACATAAACACATCGATAAGTTCGAAACGAATTACAAGCAAATCCACATGCCGACATAGAACATAAGAACTACACCACGTAGCCAGACGTGGCACGACGACGCCTAGGACGTGGTCGAGTGGAGGTAGTGCCTTCACCCGTAGGGCGAGCTCCATCTGCTGCTGATCCTGATAGTCCTGCCTCCGCCACACTTGGTTTCTCCTTGTCTTTAGGACAATGCTTGTAGGTGTGCCCATGTTCATCGCATTTGCTGCAACGCTTCACCCTGCCAGCCTCCAACTCGTCCATATCGTTGCGGATGCGACGAGTCCTCCTCCTTCCAGCCTTGCCTCGGAGCTTCGATGGGTCAGGAATATTGAGTACTTCATCGTTAGTCTCTGTGAACTCCCTAGCTATGCCGAACCCATAAATCTCGCCGCTCCATGTATGATATATTGCTTGCTTACTGAAGTACTGTGACACATATACTGCATCTGGTATGCCACACTCCGCTGCGGCAGCAATGACATGGGTGCATGGCCTGTGGAGCAGCTTCGGCTTTGCACAAGAGCAATGACATGTGCCGTCGGCTTTGAGAACACACTCCTGCTTCACTCTCTTGCGGTATATACCCCTGCCTGCCTTATCTTGACATAGTATCTCAAACCTGTGCTGTTGGGTACCTTGCACTAGAGCTCGATGTTTCATGGCCTTTTTACGCAACTCCTTTAGCTTTTTCTGCATGAAAGCTCCAAACAAAATGCTGTTGTTCGGCATAGAGGGAAGAACTGCCTGGAACCGATCCCTAAAATACCTGCATGTCCCATATAAAATGAACTCTACTATGCCAACTAGTGGCAGTCCACGGACACCGCGCATCACCCAGTTGTAAACTTCTGCCAAATTTGTTGTCATTATTCCATATCTAGCACCACCTGTGTCATACGCCTTGGCCCATTTCTCTTTTGGTTCATGCAGAATCCACTGAGAAAATTTCCGAATCTCCAATCCAGTTCTTCTAACCAATGTTGGACTATCCGTTGGGAGAGGTCCAAGAGCTTGAGGAGGGTCAGCAACGGCGGTCGATGGAGCCGCTGCACGCTGATCACTGCATTTGGCTGTCAACTCATCTAATCTCTTCCAAAGCTCATTGAATTTTTTCTCCTGGTTCTGATTGCACAGCCTCTTGAACATGTTCATGAGCTCCTTGTTCTTGAATTGCTTGAAGAAATTAGCTCCCATATGACGCATGCACCACCTACTCTGTACATCTTCCCAAACACCGGGGTATCCTCGTTCCATACTCCCAAACTGCAACTCTTCTATCGCTCGCAGAATGCTAGCGTGCCTATCATGTATCAGGCACACATTTGGCCTCATACCAACAACTTTTGTTTTAACCAATTTCAGGAACCAGTACCAGCTGTCGGTATTCTCACTCTC